CACACACAAACAAACCCAAAACTGTTTGCCCCCGACTTCGACCCGAACTGTTTCATTTTATTATTTGTGCGCATTATATTATAGATTTCTGCAGCGCATCACACTGTAGATTTCTCGCCCCCCCCCCACACACCCACCCACAAGGGTCTGTTGCATTTTATCTTGGATACAAGCTTTATAATTTTCTATTTTTTTTAAAAAAAACGTATATTAATTTACAATAAATTAAACAATCAATAAGTAATAATATATGTATTATAATTTCTACATAACTAAATCTTACATAAATAATACCTACATAACTAATATTTGTATAATTAATACCTACATAATCAAAACCTGCATAACTAATACCTACATAACCAATATCTGCATAACTAATACCTACATAACTAATACCTGCATAACTAATACCTACATAAGTAATACCTGCATAACTAATATCTACATTACTAATACCTGCATAACTAATACATACATAACTAATACCTGCATAACTCTAACCAGTAACCAAACGGCCCCTAAGGGTATTTTGAGCTTTTTTCGATAATTAAAACAAAAAAAAATAGAAATAAAAATAAAAGGAAGAAACGAATTTTAAAAAGTTTCATGTAATTACACTCAATTCCTTACCATCCCTTGGGAATTAGGGAACTGGGGAGTGTAATTACTCCCCTTCAATTACACATAATTCCTCTATTTCCAAGTAATTACTTGGTCTATCAAACATATCAAAGAGTGTAATTAACCAAATCTCAAATTCATTGTGACTTTCCAAACAATCCCTTAGTATTCTAGGAGATATGCTTGATTGAAGTTGATATTAGTTTGATCTTACATGAAACTTAATCGTTAAGGAAGTTCTCAACTCGACTTTGTAATAGAGGTTCCTTATAACCTTAAATCATATCCAATACATCTACACACTTAGGTATAGTACCTTCACATATATATATACAATTAAAAATCATCAGATTCGGGCCTATATACATACAAAGAATGGTTTGAATCTTAACTTAGAATTTGCGGGGTGTTACATTAACATAGGGTGAATCGACCTCAAAATTTTACAATGTTCCTCCTACATATTCAGTTGCTAGACAATTAATTGGTCTAATCATTCTCTCATTCTTGAATAGACAGGGATAGGATTGTTGCTCAAAACAAAAGCAATAACTCAGGTAATATTATTCTTAGGAGAAATCTGAATTTTCTGGTGAGTTGGATAATGTGACAAAATTGTTCAGTGTTACCCAATTGTCAGTGTCTATGCTATCTTGCACTAATTTTTATAATGCACTAGCACATGTATCTGATAACTCTACCATCAACCTTCAACAAATATAAAAAACTACGTATAGTGTTTTTTAACTCCACTAGAATTTGCACCTTACAAAAGCACTATGTTATTCAATTTTTGGGACAAATGAAAATAATTTCTTATGTTTTTAGAAAAGAACACTCAAAAGGAAGTATTAATTGTTATTAACAAACACATACATATACCCAAAGGAAACAACAACTAAAACAGATAATAAAACAAAAGAAGATAGATATACTTATTTTCAGATATTAAAGTTCAGTGATCATCCAGAAGGAATGAAAATGATAAAATACTAAATAAAAAAATTAGGATGTAAGAAGATTTAAAATTTATCAAAGATTGTTGATGATAGAATCAACCTTTCCTTTGGATTTTTTCAAACACCTTACACCATAATTTGTAATTTTCAAAATATTTATCCTAATCAAGCTAGGGCATGGACTTTGGTCTCCAAAAATTAGGTTTCATCTTTTGTTAAGAGCGGTGGCGGAACCAGAATTTCCGATAAGGGGGTTCAAAATCTGAAGAAATAGACACACGAAGTAGCCAAAAGGAGTTTGACATCTACTAAATATACCAAAAAAATTATTTTAACCATGTAAATATAATTTAATTTTCCGTAGAAGGGGGTTCGGATGAACCCCTAATGATAAGGTGGCTCCACCACTGGTTAAGAGACCATTTTAAAGAATTAAGAGGTCGTGCTTTAGCTATAGTGCATTAATTGAACTCTTGATTTGTAAATATTAGAAATTAGGGGTGCATATACCAATTTGAGCACAAAGGAGAAGAATAGATTTAAGGAAGAAGACCAAGCACTTTGCATATTGCTCTGCTTGAGACATCTCATTTTCTTTTAATCTAAACCTGAGAGGAAAGAAAGAGAACGATCTAAAAGGAAAATGAAAAAGGAGCAAGTGATTTGCTATAAATTAGTCATGTATAATGACCATATTACACTTGACTAATGAGCATGTTTATAAGTTTGTCTTAGAGCTTGTTTGGTATTTGTTGTTGGGAGCCTAGAATCACATATTTTGAAGAAAAAAAAGCATTATTTTTTGAAAAATTATGTGTTTTACAAACCTATAAAACTGGTTTTAAATGGAAGTAGAAACAGTTTTTCTGTTATTGAGAAGAAGCTAAAATTACTGTTTTTTAAAGAAGTAGAAACTTATTTTTTTCAAGACTAAAATATCCCTATATATAGAGAGATATATATATATATAGTTATAGTTACCAAGACTAAAATATCCCTATATATATATATATGTTTGGTTAAGTTCCATTTAATAATTTATTTTTATTTTTATTTTTTTATAATAAATTTATATTTATCTTACTTTTATGTATTATTATTTTATTTATGATTTTACGTATTATTTTGCAGAACTAGAAAAAAAAGGTAACAACGATATTTTTACAAGATGAGAAAAAAGAAAATATAACAATTAAGATTTCAACCTTTCAAAAAAATGTATAATATTGATTGAAAATTTGAATATGAACATTTTAATTTAATAAAATAAAAATTTATTTTTTTGTAATAGATGTTTAAACTAGTTTCTCTCTAAAATATAATCTTAATATATTAGAAGTACATTAATACTTGTCCTTTATCATAATTTGACTCTCATCAAAACACTTTTTAAAAATGATTAGTCAAACACAATTTGCTTATAAAAAAACACTTTTCAAATGAATTAGTCAAACACAAATAAAGCACTTTTATGAAAAAAACTATTTTTAAAAATACTTCTGAAAATAAGCAGTTTTTAACAGCAATGTCAAACAAACTCTTAATCGTTCTAGTTATGGCTCTTCTATTTATAGATAGAAATAGAAACTAGATATAGAAGTCTCATATTAGCACGAGTTCAATATATATATTTTATATCTTAATTTATGTGATACAAATAGAATTTAGAGAGTCAGTCAAATTTTTAATATGATTTTAGATATTTTAAGTTGTTAGTTACTATGATTTATATTTCTTTTTACATAATTTTCAAAAAATGTATGTTACTGATTTTTAAGTACTATTTATGTCATTTTCAAATAATATATGTTACTTCCTTTGTCTCAAATTGATATTGCAGTAATACAATTTCAAGAGTCAACTAAACTTTTATATGTCTTTTAAATATAATAAGTTGTTAATTATTGTGATTTATAGTACCATTTACGTAATTTTCAATAATATATGTTACTTTCGCTATCTCAATTACATGGCACTGATAGAATTTCGAGAATCATTTAAATTTTCAATGTCTTATAAATTTTGAACTTGTTAATTATTGTGATTTATAGTATTTTTTTTATATCATTTCAAATTATGCATGTTACTTTCCTTTGTCGCAATTTATGTGGTACTGATAGAATTTGAGAGTAATCTATTTATGTCTTTTAAATAATGTGATTTATAGTTTCTTTTACATAACTTTTAAATATATCACATATTAAAAATAAAATATAAAAATTAAAATATAAAAAAAATACAAAATTTTAAAAATGTCTTCAGTTAAAAGTAGACGAGGAATGGTTATTTGCTTCTGGCCACTTCTTTACAATAGTAAAGTAATAAGTATTATCTCCGTCCATTTTTAATTGTCATAGTTTCCATTTTTAGAGTCAAACGATAATAACTTTGACTAACATTATACGATGTATTTTTCATCATACTGATATGCAAAAAATTAGAATTTATAGTACTTTTCGTATAGTTTTTGAATATTTAAATTTTTTGGTTAAAATATCGAATTAATATAATCTAATTTAATTTTGAAAATTAATTAAATTAACTTTTGAAAAGCACAACGTAATAATTAAAAGTGGACCGAGAGAATGATGAAAAAATTGGAACCAAAGTATATGGGTAGTAAGAATGAAAGAAAAACAATTATATTGCCGATGTTTTATCAATTTGCCTACGTCTATCTTTTACTGAATTTATTTGGAGAAGATTTTTATTTGCACATGCCTAATTTCAACTAAAATTTTAAAACAAATTTCTTTTAAATATGCACAAGAATATACCAACAAATATCTACTCCATAATTTTGTTTCGATTGTCATTATTTTTCCGGGAAGAAAACTAACAAGAATCAAGTATGATGTTGTGAAATATGTTCTAAATTTTTGAACTATTTGAAAAAAAAGAAGTAATTGTTAGAGCTGACTAAAATAAATTAAAATTATTTTGTTCGATTCATACTTTATCTTATCTTCCCTTGAAAAAGCTCAAATATGCTATTAAATTTTGTGAAAAATTTGTTTATGTTATCCGTTAAAATTTTGATTTATTTATATCATTTTTGTTTGAGAAAAAGTTTATTCATGTCATTATTTGTTAACTGAAATGACATAGATGAACCAAACTCTAAACAATGACATAGATGAGTTTTTCTCAATCTTCGATGAAATATTTGAGTCTTTTCCTTTTAAAAAATCAATTGAATTACTGATGTGGCCGAATCATAATTAACCACGTGTAAAAGATAATTTTACAAAACTGAGATTTTTTTTTATTAATAAATAATAACATGAATGAACCATTTTTAAACAAAAATGAAATAAATGAGCCGAGTTTTAAATATAAAATTCTAGTCTTTTGCCTTTTATTTTAACTATATATAATATAATATATAAATAAAAACAAAAAGTGCAATTATTCCTTCTAAAAAAAAGATCTCCGGAATATTGTAGAAGCCTCTTACTGTTCCTATCAGAAATAAAGTGAAGAAGATGCTAGATTACACTCGAATTGCTTGAGTTTCTCAGATTCATCGACTATAAATATCACCATACTTTCTTTGGTTTATCATCAGCAAGTAATCAAGCACTAGAATCAAAAGTTAAAAAATCCTCTGTTTTCTTCAAACAACAAAGTTCCCAAAAATGTCTCTGATTCCAAGCTTCTTCGGTGGTCGCAAGAGTAACATTTTCGACCCATTTTCCCTTGACTTATGGGATCCATTCCCAATTTCAACCAATGCTCCATCCTCTGCTCGTGAAGTCTCTGCTTTTGCAAATGCAAAAATAGATTGGAAAGAGACCCCAGAAGCTCACGTCTTCAAAGTGGACGTTCCGGGGATAAAGAAAGAGGAAGTGAGAGTCGAAGTGGAAGAAGGAAGGATTTTACAGATTAGCGGTGAGAGAAGCAGAGAGCAAGAAGAGAAGAACGATCAGTGGCACCGTATGGAGAGGAGTAGCGGTAAGTTTTTAAGGAGATTCAGACTGCCGGAGAATACGAAGACGGGAGAAATTAAGGCAGCGATGGAGAATGGGGTACTGACTGTGACTGTTCCAAAAGAAGAAGAGAAGAAGAAATCTGAGGTGAAGGCCATTGACATTTCTGGTTAAACACAAGTGCAGATCAAAAGTCGCTCTGTCAATAATGTCTGTTTCTCAAGTATTTTGGTTTGTTGGAGATTAAGCTTTTAATTTGAATTGTGTATGTGTAATTGTGGTCTTCTTCTACTTGCATTTGTAAACAAGAAAATGTTGTGAGAGTTTAATTAATGAAAAATTTCTTTTTAAAAAACAATAAATGGATGTCCACATTATTATATCATGTGTTCGTAAATTAATTATACTTAACACTTGTTAAGTATAATTTGCTATTTCCTCCGTTTTTAAAAAATGATCTAGTTTGACTTGTTACGGAGTTTATGAAAATAAAGAAAACTTTTGAATCTTGTGGTTCTAAATTAAAGTTATGTCAAATGTGTAAAATTGTTATTTAATCTTGTGATCTTAAACATGCTACTGAAATTAAAATGTTACCAAAAAGAAAATATGTCATTCTTTTTTAAACAGACTAAATAGGAAAGGAAAACGGAGGGAGCAGTTAACTACTCTATATGATATATTTGATGTTCAAAGTGTATACATAACAAGAAGATATTCATATACTCCCTCCGTCCCATTTTATGTGGCGACATTTGATCGGGCACGAAGTTTAAGAAATAAATGAAAACTTTGAAATGTTTACCGAATTGTTTACTGAATTGTCCTTTAAAAAGTAGATTCACTTTTCTCTCTCCTCATAAATGTATTGGACTATTATTTTAAAATTAAGTGGGACCAACAAGGATAAAAGAGAAATTGTACCTTTAAATACTTATCATATAAGGAAATGTGACATTCTTTTTGGAACTGACCAAAAAAAAAATTGTGTCACATAAAATGGGACGGAGGGAGTATCATACTTGGTGTCAAATATATATAGATATATTGTAACAATGAGAAAAATACAAAAAGTGAAAACAAAGTTACTTACTACTATTCTTTTTCTTGCTTTCTTCTTGTCATTTAATTTAGGGAAAATGCACAAGTACCTCCCAGTCTATACCCAAAATTCCTGAAACACATTTAACTTTTACTAAGGTCCTATTACCCTCTGAACTTATTTTTTAATTAATTTTCTATCCCTTTTCGGTCTATGTGGCACTATCCTTGAAAAATTATCAACACGCATTGGGCCCACAAGATAGTGCCACGTAGGCCAGAAAGGGGTAGAAAATTATATATAAAATAAGTTCGGGGGGTAATAGGACCTTAGTAAATGTTAGGTGTGTCTTGGGGATTTGGGCATAGGCTGGGGGGGTTACTTATGCATTTTCCCTTTAATTTACTACACATACTTTATTTTATAACACGTTATCAGTAGGAGTCTCTTCATCTACGAACATCTTTGATGGTATATTAGCTCAAACATAAGTAGTATAGAGTATATTCTATTTTGCTATATAAGTCTTCTTATAATTGATAGTCTAAATTTGGTGTGTCTAATATAAATATCGTTAATGTTATAATGCAATTTCCGAACATCTACAAGATATAATGCAGTAAAAATGGATCTAACTACTCAGTTGAAGAAAACTTTGCCTACTTAGGTGTCAAACATCAATTAATGAACCTTACCCATGAACATCTGACTCCACGAGAGCAACCTATGATTATAAAGACTGAAATTTCTTAGGTTTTCACCTTTCTTGTGTGGTAATTCTTCTCCCCTTATTGCTCCTTTGCCCGGGTGCCTTTAGAGTGTTTTTGGAGTAATCCTCGTCTACTTTCTCCTTTCTAAAATGAGAGGAAAATAAAAGATGATGTATTAATTAGACTTTAGAAATTCGCCAGCGTGCTATAGCAACGCCGCCATAGTGGAAGCCTTCCTCTATGCGGGATGACGTCAGGCCAAAAAATCAATCTGGGCCAAAATTGTCATGTGCTCAAATTTTAAAAATATTTGCACCGCACTTTCGAACTTTTGAAATTTCCCACGAGAAGCCCTTTGATAACATAGTTTGAATCGTTACAATAAGATACTAGTTAATCCATTGATCATCCCCAAACTAAGACCCGGGAGAAAATAAAATAGATCGATTATTGAGGTTTACCGTATGATTTGACACGTCAAGAATGCACTCACCATATGCAAGGAACACAATGCTACCACGTCTCACGTATCCAAGATTATCAGAATAGAAATATGAATGCACGAAAACAACAACAAATTTTTTACCTGCCTACTTCTCTGGACCCCGCTATAGCAGCCATAACCCCGTTATAGCAGTGTCATTGTAGTGGTTGTCCAACCACTATAGCATCGTGCAAATTAGAATAATAAGAGAGAGGATAATGAGTTTCTATGCTCATTTACCCTCTTCCAACTCTCAATCTCAATATCTCTCTCTGAACAGTGTTCTGAATCATCGAAATCAGGGTAAGCATCGCTTTCCTTACTCTTTCTACTTTAATAGGCAAATAATGACGAAAGCATGTTAAAAATTGAATAAAATAGAATAAGGTTTGGGTTGATTTTGAACTTTGAAAATAATTGCTTCATTGTCAAATTTTTCGAAGCATGAGATTTCCCCTTACTACACTACTAATACGTTCTGAGCGTAAGGGTTACGGATAAAAGAGCTTGAATCGATTTTGAAATACTGGAGAAATTAAGTTGAAGGGTTGTTCTTGAAGAAAACTTAGATTTGAGAATGATTTAGAACTTGAAATAACTAGATTTTTTTCATATTTAATTAGGAGAGTACTTTAAGATCACTGATTTGTAGAAAAGTTATCAAAAACGAATTTTATTTAGCTAAGGAGCGCTATGAATGCGCCTGCTGAAGATTGCTATAGCAACCTTGCATCTCGCTGTAGCGGATGACGCCTTGCACTAATCTCAATAATGCACCAGCACAAATATCTGATAATTCTGCCCACCAATCTTAAGCAAATATAAAGAAAACATCTATACTATTTTTTAACTTCACTGATATTCACACCTTACAAAACCCTATGTCATTCAATTTTGAGACAAAAAAAAAGTAGTCTTTTATGTTTAAAAAAAAACATTGATACTTATCCTTTATCATAATTTACACACTGATGAGAATGTTATAAATGAGAGAGGTGTGTTTCTCAAACTAATAAGTGATAGTTTAGGTATGAAACTCACACTTTCAATCGTTTAGGTATGAAACTAAAAAAAATGGGATAATTTAGGTGTGTTTTTGATACTTATGTCTATTTTTTATGTTATTTTCAAATAATATATGTTACTTCCTTTGTCCCAATTTTATATTGCAATAGAATTTCAAGAGTCAACTAAACTTTTATATATCTTTTAAATATATTAAGTTGTTAATTATTGTGATCTTTAGTACCATTTACGTAATTTATAAATAATATATGTTACTTTCGCTATCTCAATCACCTGACACTGATAGAATTTTGAGAATCATTTAAATTTTAAATGTTTTATAAATTTTGAACTGGTTAATTATTGTGATTTATAGTATTTTTGATACCATTTCAAATTATGCATGTTACTTTCCTTTGTCGCAATTTATGTGGCACCGATAGAATTTTGAGAGTAATCTAATTTTTTATGTCTTTTAAATATTGTAATTTATAGTATTTTTTACGTAATTTTTAAATATATAACATATTAAAAATAAAATAAACAAATAAAAATATAAAAAAATACAAAATTTCAAAATATCCTCAGTTAAAAGTAGAGAAGGAACGGTTATCTGCTTCTGGCCACTTTTATACAGTAGTAAAGTACTACTATAAGTAATGAAAAAGTTGGAACCAAAGTAGATGGGTAGTAAGAATGAAAGAAAAACAATTATATTGCCGCTGTTTTATCAATTTGCTTTCGTCTATTTTTTACTGAATTTATTTGAAGAAGATTTTTATTTGCACATGCCTTATTTCTACTAAATTTTTAAAACAAATTTCATTTAAATATGCAAAAGAATATACCAACAAATATCTACTCCATAATTTTGTTTCGATTGTCATTATTTTTCTGGGAAGAAAACTAACAAGTATCAAGTATGATGTTGTGAAATATGTTCTAATATTTTGAACTATTTGGAAACAAAAGTTATTGTTAGAGCTGACTAAAATAAATTAACATTATTTTATTCGCTTCTTTTTAATTATGGAAAAAGTTTAAATATGCTATCAAACTTTGTGAAAAAATTTATATACGTCATTCGTTAAATTTTTGGTTTATCTATATCATTTTTGTTTGACAAAAAGTTTATTCATGTAATTATTTGTTAACTGAAATGACATAGATAAATTAAACTTTAAGCGGTGACATAGATGAGTCTTTTCTCATATTTGACATATTTGAGCCTTTTTTTTTTTTAAAAATGATTGAATTAATGATGTGGCTGAATCATAATTGATCACGTGTAAAAATGATTTTGCAAAATCAAAATGTTTTTTAATTAACAAATATTGACATGAAAAAACTTTTTTCAAAACAAAAATGGTATAAATGACCCGATTTTAAATATTAAATGCGATAACATATTAAGTCTTTTTCCTGTAAAAACAAAAAGTTAAATTACTCCTTACCAAAAAAAAGGGTGCAATTATTCCTTCTAAAAAAAAACACTCTGGAATAATGTAGAAGCCTCTTACTGTTCCTATCAGAAATAAAGTGAAGAAGATGCTAGATTACACTCGAATTGCTTGAGTTTCTCAGATTCATCGACTATAAATATCACCATACTTTCTTTGGTTTATCATCAGCAAGTAATCAAGCACTAGAATCAAAAGTTAAAAAATCCTCTGTTTTCTTCAAACAACAAAGTTCCCAAAAATGTCTCTTATTCCAAGCTTCTTCGGTGGTCGCAGGAGCAACATCTTCGACCCATTTTCTCTTGACTTATGGGATCCATTCGAGGGCTTCCCAATTTCAACCAATGTCCCATCCTCTGCTCGTGAAATCTCTGCTTTTGCAAATGCAAAAATCGATTGGAAAGAGACCCCTGAAGCTCACACCTTCAAAGTGGACGTTCCGGGGATAAAGAAAGAGGAAGTGAAAGTCGAAGTTGAAGAAGGAAGGATTTTACAGATTAGCGGTGAGAGAAGCAGAGAAAAAGAGGAGAAGAACGATCAGTGGCACCGTATGGAGAGGAGTAGCGGTAAATTTTTAAGGAGATTCAGGTTGCCGGAGAATGCAAAGACGGGAGAAATAAAGGCAGCGATGGAGAATGGGGTGCTGACTGTGACTGTTCCTAAAGAAGAAGAGAAGAAGAAATCTGAGGTGAAGGCCATTGACATCTCTGGTTAAAGAAATGCAGATCAAGTGTTTGATGAAAGTCCCTTTATCAATAATGCATTAATGTTTGGTTTGTTGGGAAATTAAGCTTTTAATCTGAATTGTGTGTAATTGTCTAAGTTGTAAACAAGAAAATGGTGTGAGAGTTTAATTAATGAATAATTTCATTTTTAACATTTATTTAGTAGTTATTGTTTCTCTTTTCCATTCTAAGAAATGATGATCCCAAGTTATGATCAGAAGCAACTTGTTATGTGAATAGGATTTTTATGTAAATAATGACTTTAATTAAATTAATGTCATTAACATAATCTTAAAATTGTTATTACTTTTACATCTCTCAAGTTACTTGTCCCTCAATTTAAAACAAGTGTCACAAAAAAGATAAAAATGAAAAGGTTGTACATGAACACTCAATTACCAAACATGCTCATGGAAAATGTTAATATTCTTGAAGTACCTTTAATACTAGAAAGTCTATTTAGTGCCACAAAAATTAATTAGAAATTTTATCAGTGCCTTAGAAGAAATATATATATTATATGTTATTTAAAAATAACAAATTTTATCAGTGCCTTAGAAGATATATTATTTAAAAATAACATAAAATATGTGTACTTTAAATTGAAGATATTTTTAAAAATTCAGTATTTTCTTTATTTTTTATTTTTTGTAGTTTATTATATAATTAAAAATTATGAAAAAATTACTATGAAAGGGAATTAAAAATAGATAGATTCTGGAATTTTGATTAATGTCAATAACATATATTATTCGTAAAATATATAATAAATTATAATAATTAATAACTTAAAAATATTTAAAAGACATAAAAATTTAATTGATGCTTAATTATTTTTTTATCAATATCACATAAATTAGGATAGGAAAAGTAACATATATTATCTTTACGTAAAAGTATTATAAATTATAATTACTACCAACTTAAAATATTTTATCAATTATATAAAAAAATTAATTGACTCTTAAAGTATTATCTATATTACATAAATTAGAATGAAAAAATAACATATATTAAATTCGTGCTAATATGGACTCCTATAGTTCAACAAAAACATTGTTTGGTTACTTTATTTAACCTAATCCATGGATTAGTTATACCTTACACAAGGTCTTACTTTATCCCTAGAAAAGGGAGGGTAACTAATCCAAGGTTTAACAATCCTTGGATAAGATCCCTAAATGACTAAACTATCCCCAAATCTTTTTTCCTATTTTTTTTTGCTAATTTAATTTTATTTTTTTTATACGAGAATATTTATAAATATTCTTTTAAATTCACCAAATTCGTTTTTAGAAATATACCGTGCTATCAATGATATCGATAATGTCATATCACACCTCAATTTTTTTTATTTTTTTTTTATATTTTAGTATTTAACTTGACTAGTTAGATGAAATATAAAATCTCATAATAACTCAAGCATATAATAGGAAATAAACTTTTTCTAGAGTTTTAAACCAAACGTAAGATTATGTGGGAAATAATGAATCAAACACTTGATAAAAATTAATCTCTGCATTACTAATTCATGCATTAGTAATCCCTGCATTATACATCTTTGTACCAAACGACCCCTTAGTATATACTAGATGAGGCTTGTTCATACTAATGTGAAGAGGAAGAATTTAGAAAGTAGATTAAATTTTAATATGATTTTGAGATATTTAAGTTGTTAATTACTATTTGTCTGTGCAAAAATTTAGTGTGAATAGTTCCATTAATAATTAAAGTATTTTTCATTATCGATCGTTGAATTTTTACTCAAAGTAGTTACAAGATATAAACAAATATTACCGACATTCAAAATAATAAAGCAATAACTAAAGAATATGAATTTAAAACTAAAAGTCTTAGCTAAAACGAATTCCATAATTTTGAAAAGAATATACACTAATTAAATTAAAGTAGAACAAAAAAAAAATTAATTTTTTTTTTGAAACACGATGTGTCTGCTTCAGCATGAAGTCTTGAATTTAAAATTAAAAGTCATAACTAAAACGAATTCTATAATTTCAAAATAATTATACAATAATTAAATTAAAGTAAAATAAAAGAAATAATTATTTTTTTAAAATACCTTGAAGCAGACACGTTGACGAAACGTGTCTACAAAATTATTCAGTAATTAAATTAAAGTAAAATAAAATAAAAATTCTTAAATAATATTTCCAAAATACGATCAGCGCAATTACATCTTCAAAATCCATATCTGTGGAATATTGTAGAAGCTTCTTACTGTTCCCATCTAAAATTAACGGAAGAAGATCCTAGATAACACTCGAATGGCTTGTTCTCAGATTCATCCCTATAAATATCACGGACACTTATTCTAGTTCATCATCAAGCAAATCAAACACTAAAATCAAAAGTTAAAAAATCCTCTGTTTTCTTCAAACACAACAAAGTTCCCAAAAATGTCTCTGATTCCAAGCTTCTTCGGTGGTCGCAAGAGTAACATTTTCGACCCATTTTCCCTTGACTTATGGGATCCATTCCCAATTTCAACCAATGCTCCATCCTCTGCTCGTGAAGTCTCTGCTTTTGCAAATGCAAAAATCGATTGGAAAGAGACCCCAGAAGCTCACGTCTTCAAAGTGGACGTTCCCGGGATAAAGAAAGAGGAAGTGAAAGTCGAAGTGGAAGAAGGAAGGATTTTACAGATTAGCGGTGAGAGAAGCAGAGAGCAAGAAGAGAAGAACGATCAGTGGCACCGTATGGAGAGGAGCAGCGGTAAGTTTATAAGAAGATTCAGGTTACCGGAGAATACGAAGACGGGAGAAATAAAGGCAGCGATGGAGAATGGGGTGCTCACTGTGACTGTTCCTAAAGAAGAAGAGAAGAAACATGAAGTGAAGGCCAAAGAAGAAGAGAAGAAACATGAAGTGAAGGCCATTGACATTTCTGGTTAAACAAGTGTTTGATGAAAGGCCCTTTGTCAATAATGTCTGTTTTCTCAAGTATTTTGGTTTGTTAGGAGATTAAGCTTTTAATTTGAATTGTGTATGTGTAATTGTTAAAGATTGTGGTCTTCTTCTACTTGCATTTGTAAACAAAAAATTGTTGTCAGAGTTTAATTAATGAAAAATTTCATCCCGTTATAAAATGGATGTCCACAGTATTATATCATGTGTGGTAAGTTATTATACACATAATATATTAAGTGATTATACTAGTTAATATATACTTGGTGTCTAAATTATATACATAATAAGAAGATATCTAATATATTCAATGGTGGAGCCAGAAATTTCATAAAGAGTGCCCAGAAATAACAAAAGCTCTTTTCAAAACATAAAACTAGTGAGATTCGAACATATGAGCACTCCCTCATTCCAAGGAGGTGAAACTATTGGGTTATAACAACTTGTTATGTTAAAGGTGTTCAATATATGTTATTTAATCATTTTCGTGTATTATTTTACTTGTATATACAATATTTTTGCTAATTGTAACGACTCGGAAAAATGATAGGTTAAGCAAGAGCCTATGACTTTGTGTTGACCTTATAATGAGGTTCTATGAGGGGTTTTTATGTAATTTCGTTTTAATTGTTTATTATGTGGGGGTTGATTTTAAATGGTTTTGGGTCTTAAAACATTCCTTTAACTCATTATTTTCCCAAATCAAATCCCAAATTCTTTCTCTCTTTATATCTCTCTCTAACTCAAGGAAGAAGAAG